ATGAAGTTCAGAGGGTAGCCAACACTGTTCCGCTCAGCGTCTTCCACTGTACGACTCAAGACACAGAGCTGATGGGATATTCTATTCCCAAAGTAAGAAGCAACTGGTTTTAAATCTTTTTTGGCAGTAGTCTCAGTATAGTAAAGTGTCACAGTGCTGTAAATAGTTTTATGTTAATAATCAATTTTGTAGCTGTGTTCCAAGTGGAGGCAATGTAAGCTAACCTCTGCGGGGAACAGAGCTGAACATGTCTTTTCTGCAAAACCTTATTCACATTCAGTCATGATTTGGTTGATTTCACTGACTGTAAAAATAGTTAAATGTAGGCAACAGACTTTTCACACAGATTCAGTTTGTACTATAACACTATTAAGTAACGGCACGAACATGACCTTTACTTGGGTATAGCATTAGTAAATCTTAACCTATTAAAAGTTTCCTGCCTTCCTTTATGCCCTTTGTTTTTTGCCTCATTTTCTCCTCAGGGTACGCTGATCATCCCTAACTTGACCTCTTTACTGAGTGAGGAGGGACAATGGAAATACCCTCATGAATTCAACCCTGAAAACTTCCTCAATGACCAGGGAGAGTTTGTTAAACCAGAGGCCTTCATGCCTTTCTCCACAGGTATGAGAGCATACAAAACGAACAGGATGAACTCATTGTATCACACCTGGTGCTGTAGATGACTTTGGGGTCTTCTCATGTCTCAGGTCCTCGTATGTGTCTCGGAGAGGGTCTGGCTCGTATGGAGCTCTTCCTCATCATGGTCACGCTGCTGAGGAAGTTTAAGTTCATCTGGCCTGAGGATGCAGGAGAGCCAGACTACACTCCAGTCTATGGGGTGACTCTGAGTCCCCATCCTTACCACATGAAGGTCCAACCCAGGTCAACGCAGTATGGCGGTCTGCAAACAGCGGAGACAGTGGAGACAGATCCAGAATAACATTATAAATATAATATAAATATATAATAATACCTCCTGAGAACAAATACAATGAAAACAATAGGAATCGAATCTAATCTTTTCTCATTAACATAAAATAAATATAGGTTTTATTTTATTCAAATTAATTCTACTTAATGAGTTCAGTCAACTCATTAATTGTCATAAGAAACATGATCAGCATGTTACTAGACTTCCCAGCATGCCTCCTGAGACCCATCTTTTTATAGGGTTGGATATTTGATTATATGTACCTGATAAACTGTAAATGAACCCAAATAGTGAAGACAATAACTGGAAGACGAGTGATTTGGATGCATTTTTACCAGATTATTGAATTATTCATCAGACATGAGTTTTCCTCATATGTTTAAGAACTCTTAATACAAGTCTGTATTATGTATTTTAATATTTATAACAATCAGCTATACTATCTACACAAACAGTTTTATTGAACAGAAATGAATGAAAAGCAGAGATAAAGGCCTACAGCATTTTTTTTTTTTTAAGTTTTCGTAGACCTCTTAAAATCAAGAAGGCCTTGCAACCCCCCTTGAAGCTTTGGCGACCCCTAGTGGGGGTCCTGCCCCACAGATTGGTAACCACTGCCATAGACTGTATACAGCATTAACAGCATGTATTGTAAAACAAATTACGTGTGTTAAAGTAACAAAAGTGTGTCACTGTCCATGGTGCTGACGAGATGTCATATAAAGAGCATTCTTGAGTTGTAATTATTTACCTTGTGTCGATTCCCCTCACGGTATGGACGACACTTAGAATGTGTTTTTCCAACATAATTGGATTCTTCAGACCTTTTAAATGTTAACACAGTTTGGCTACTGCAGTGTTTTTATTCTGGGGAGAAAAGACAAGATAACAGATAGTTAATGTCTCCCTCAAGTGGACACCCTTGGGTACTAGATTTAACATTCAAGTTGATTTTTAACATAAAAAAAACATTGTATCTACATATCTATATCTATATATCTATACATATAGATGGGTGTAAAATAAATAGAATATACATTTTATATATAGGATTACATTTATATATAAGACTGAGGAAAATGCATGCATATTTCTCTGACTGAAACTCTGATCCTCTTTTTAATTCTTACTGCACACTGAACAAGTGTTAGAATAACACAGACAGTTGTTGTTTGTCTGACTGCTGGATGAGTTTAATTAAAATCATTAAAACACATGTTTCTGTCGTTTTTATGTGAGCTGGTTCCTGGCAGTTTTACAGTGTCATCCTCTTTCAAAATAATTTTTCGGTCTTTAATTGCCTTTAATGGATAGTGACAGGAAGGGGGTGGAGAGAGGGAGAGAGAAGGTGACGACACGCAGCAAAGGGCCAGGTTGGAGTCGAACCCATGGCCGCTGAAGCAAGGAGTCAGCCTTGGTACATGGGACACCAGTTCTACCAGATGAGCTACCAGGGCGCCCCATATACAGTCGTCCTTGACTCTGCAACTCAGTTCATTTTGTTTTCTTAGTTTTGGGAAGCTTATTACTTATTTTCTTCTTATTTATTAATTATTCCAGGTCCAGGAGTCAGCTAGAAAACATCCTAGTGTAGAAAACTGGCAATACTAAACTAAACTAACTTCCTGTCTGATGGGGCCTTAGATAAATCAAACACAACTACTAGTGTGAAAGCAAAAAAGTATGGCGCTTTAAACATGCATATGCACACTACGCACACGCAGCAACGTGTGCAAAATGAATGTTCAAAAAATGTATTGCAGTGTGCGAGAAGTTTCAGAAAATGTAATTATAAAGGCCAATTAGCGATTAGTTGAAGTTCATTAGTGGGGATACAGTCTTATGGCCACATGTAGGAATGATCTCCTCACCTTGCAGGTATAGGTCTTTGGCTGAATACACTTCTCTTCTCAACCAGCATGTCGAAGAGGGGGTGTGAGACATTCATGATCCTTACCACCTCAAACAGTATCTTCTTCTCTGTCAGCGCCTCCAGAGAGTCCAGCCCAATCACTAAGCCAGCTTCTCTAAACCTAAACTGATTGTTGAGCTTGTTAGCGTGTAGAAGGCCCCTGCGTTCACAGCCCACTCTAACCTGTCATCCAGGGGGTCAGGGGAAGCTGTGTAAGTGTAAATCTGTCTACTATCAGCGCCTTCGTCTTGCTGTTCAGCTTCAGACAGTTCAAACTGCACCACCCGCCAGTCAGCCTGTATTCCTCCTGTTATCCACTGATACACAAAGGCAGAGTCAACAGAGAATTTCTGTAGGTGGCATGCTGTATCTGCTGTCAGAGGTGTGTGGAGTAAACAGGAAGGGGGAGAGGACAGTCTCCTGGGGGCTTCTGTGTGGCTCATCACAGTTCTTGACATGCAGTTCCTGAGTCTTTGAACTGCGGTAATCTGTTATACAACTTACTTAACTGACAAAGTGTTACTATCAGTTTCAACAAATGCTGTCAGTGTACGAGGACACAAGTTGATCCTGAGACGTACGTATATGAAGTGTTTTGGTTGCATTAGTACATTTTGGATGTGAGATTGACTGTTGCATGTCAGAAATATGACTTTGCAATTGTAAAAGAAACTGTAAAAGAGCCATAGGTGGTGAGAGCTATACTGTTGTGTGTGAGTTTTAAGGGGTTTGCAGCAATAATTCAACTCGACCCAAGGGATGAATCTGGGTGGCCATGTTGTATGTAGTGGCATCTCTTGGTGGTCATTTGTGTCTTTCTGTAGTTGTCTTGCGTCTCAAAAGGCAACCAGACTGAACCAGAGATTTCTCTTCCAGCTTATAGTTTAAGGAGTTAATATGTTTTGTCATGATTACATTTAAATTCATCTATCAAATTAATTGGATCCATACCTTTGCATTTCAGATATTTATGATGCACAACTGTTGTGATTCAAAACAGTGCAGTTTGACTCTGAAAGATTGTAATTATGAAATCTGTCTATGTCAGGGTTGTGTACATTTATGATAAATCCCAAGTAAGTAAAGACCAAATCTAGCATATGACCACAGTTATAGGGCCAGGGAGATGTTTAAAAAAGAAACCAAAGTTATTGCGAGGTTTTCCGATGCTACTATATGCATTATGTGATCTCTCCACTGCGTGTTGGGTATTCAGATGGTAAATCCAACAAAAGGAACATGTAAAGTTGTTACACCAGACAGGACTGAGGATTGAGGCATTT